AAAGGTCTGGGAACAGGCTATAACATTCTGGCTAAAAATTCATTACAACCTGAAGGGTTTAATACCTTACCTTTTAGCCTCGGACCCTTACCCTGCCTGGTCTACACAAATTCTTAATAAATTAAATCAGATTGGCCTATTCCCAGAAGATCTGTTCTATGGAAGCCTATACAAGGCAAGAACAGCTATCTTAAGGACCCTTAATCCTCCTTGACTGACCATTCTGGCTTAGTATATGCCAGCTTTTGAGACTGGGTCCCATTACAGCCATGCTTGAATAAGAATTATTCGAAACGCGGCATCAGGCATCCGGATTACGCGTCGGCTTTTTATGGCTCAGAAAATTTGGTGACTTGCACTCCAATTTGGACTTTGATATTGCTTCTATGCTGGAGTAGACACATGGAAAGACTGTGACTTGTTTCTATTATGATTTCTTATTGCACTTTGGCCAATTGATTTATATCATACTTGTTATGTTTATTTGATTTATATTATACTTGCTGTTATGCTTATTTGATCATTATACACTTGCTTACTTGCTTGTGCGTTATTTTTTTGCCAGTGGTGTTCTTTTTTGTTTCTTGCATTGTACACTGGCTTACCCCCTATTTTGTTTTGGCTGCTTGTATATTATTGTGGGGTACTTATGGCCAATGGCTTAGATTTAACCCTCTGCAGTCTTATCTTGACTTTAAGCCAGAAGTCCTTTGTAAATTCCTCTTAGAAGATGTTCAGAGCTCAGTGACTTACGCTGTGGCAAAATTTTGTTGCTTAGCTACTAGGAAATGTAAACTTATTTTAGCTGAAAAAATTGTATGATTCTCTTATTAACATTAGTTTATGTTATTAATTTTATTAACTTTCTCTTGTTTATGTTTTTATACTATTCCCATGTTATTACTGTTTTTAATAACTCCATTAAATTTTCCAGGCAGATCTGATGAATTTAATATCTCCCTCCCCCCTTTCATATTGTTCTAACAAAATCACCTCTAAGGTGACCAAATTTTGCCCCTCAGCAAGATCAACAAGGAAGCAGCTGGTCAAGTCTTCTTATTAATTGTGTCTACTATTGAAATCAGCCTGCCATGCTGCCTTGAAATTTTATTGTTTGCAAATGTGCTGATAACTATGAGTGTCAATTGTGACTGATCTATGATTGTAACTAATAAAGAACTAAGAAAGAAAGATTGTTGCAGGGACTCGCTTCCACTGCTGACATCAGCAGTGCAACCTAGGGGCTGCTAGATGGACAACCACCATAGGCTTAGACACACTTGCCCCTTTTGCATCACTATCTAAGCTCTAACCCGGGGTGGCCAAACTGTGGCTCAAGAGCCGCATGCAGCTCTTTCACACATATTGTGTGGCTCCCAGCAGGGCAGCTGGGGAAGCTAAGGGGAGGCATGCCTCCCTGATTGGTCTTCCCTTCCCCTGCCCCATGGCCCCACCTGCCGGCTTAGAGAAGGCATTTGTATCTTAGTCAGTTTCCTTGCCACCAAAGTCCATTTGTATCTTTAAATCCATTCTCCAAGCAAAGCCAGTTGGCGTGGGGGCGTGGGGTATGTGTGTGGAGAACACATTTTAAGTTAAAGTTGCTTTCTTCCCAACCCTCCCTCCTTCCCTTATTTATTTACTTTCTTATTTACTATCTCTCTCTCTTTTCCCCTTCCTTCCTCTTTCCCCCAACTATTTGATTTCTTTCCACCTTTCTTTCTTTTCACCTTTCTCTCTCTTTCTGTCTTCCTTCCTTTCTTTATCTATTTCTCTCTCTTCCTTTCTCCCCCTCCCACATCTATTTGCTTTCTTTGTTTCTTTCTCCCTCTCCTTTCCCCCTCCCCCCCCCTCCCCTCATCTATTTCTTTCTTTCTCTCTTTCTCTCTGTCTTCCTTCCTACCCCTCCCTCCTCCATCTGTTTGCTTTCTTTATCTATCTCTCTTTTCCCCTTCCTTCCTCCTTCCTCCATCTATTTGCTTTCTTTCCACCTTTCTTTCTCTTCTCCTCTCTTCCTTCCTTCCCCCTCCCTATCTATTTTCTTTCTCTCTCTCTTAGACAAATATCTTTGTTTCTCTCTCCCCCCTTTCTTTACACTTCTTTCATTCTTTCCTTCCACCTCTCTCTCTCTTAGACAAATATAATTAGCAAACAAATAAATATCATTGGACAAATAAATATCATTATCAAAATCTGTTTTCCCCCTTTGTTTTTGTTTTTGACAGTCTTATTTAATGTTAATAAAAAGCAAGTTTGCATATTTTCCAATAAAAAAACGTGTGTGTGATATTTGTTCATGTCTTGCAGCTCTCAAACATCTGACATTTATTCTATGTAGTTAAGCCATTTTGGCCACCCCTGCTCTAACCACTATACCACATTGGGTTTCATAGGGCAGCTGCTGTTGAACAGTAGCAAGCAGCCAGGCCCATTTGAGTCATGCAAGCCCAGTGGCATCTAATCACCCAAAAGCTGCTGCTAGGCCTAGGTTTGCCAAACCTCCAGGTGGGATCCGGAGATTTCCCAGAATTACAACTGAACTCCAGATAACAGAGATCTGTTCCCCTGTAGAAAATGGAGGGTGGAATCTATGGCACTATATCCAACTGAGGCCTCTCCCCTTCTCAAACCCTGTCCTCTTGAGAATTCCACCATAAAATCTCCAGGAATGTTGGTCCTGTAACTGGCAACTCTAGCCAGGCCTGGCCCCCAATGAGTCCTCCCTCAAAGGTTAAATAGGCCTGTAATCTCCGCCTGCCTGACAGAACCAAGCCTGGAATCTGTGGCTGCTTAGCAAGGGAATCAGTTGCTTAAATCTGCAGGTGCTCCATTTATTATTTTGGTGTTTTTTTGCTGTTTTAGACTTCAAATTTTCCTGCAAACTTAGGGCACTTTTCCGGTTTGCAGTAAGATCCACCTTGCCCATCTACAGCTCCAATAATCAGATTTAAGCATCCTCAGATTTTGCCGACATGGCTACTAGAATATGGAAATAGGGATCCACAAGAAATTTATGGAGAGGGTGCATCCCTCCCCTCCTTTGCTTTCATCCCACTTTCCCTTCTCTAAAAACCTTCCCTCTGTTTCACCCCATTCCCTTACTTATCAACCTACCCCATTTCTTTTGCCCCTACCCCTTCTCCTTCAATCTACCCCTCTCCTAGAATCATAGAGTTGGAAGGGACATCCAGAGTCATCTAGCCCAAACGCTGCACAAGGCAGGAAATTCACAAATACCTCCCCCTCCACACCCGCAGTA